CCCGGCTGCGGCCTGCTTCTAGTTTGAGACCTTGACGGGTCGTAGGGGTCAGTGGTGACAGCGTTACGCTGGGACCAGTCATGTTTAAGATCCATCCGACTGGCTTTTCTGGTCTCTTCTGGCTGAAGCTGCAGCAGACATTATAAGTGGCAGACACTGGATACAGTGAAAGGCGACCCTGCAGTGCAGCATCCGCATCGGACGCACAGGCATAAAGCCAGACACTGGATACAGTGAGAGGCGACCCTGCAGTGCTGCATCCGCATCGGATGCACAGGCATAAAGCCAGACACTGGATACAGTGAGAGGCGACCCTGCAGTGCAGCATCCGCATCGGACACACAGGCATAAAGAGTACAGTAGGGACGCCTCATTCGCCGCTGTTTCGTTCAGTAGGAGCACCGGCGTCTCAGCTGTACAGACTCCCCTCCGCTGACCGTCGCCCCTTGTCTTGAGGTTCGGGGCAGGTCGGCCCCAGACCGCGCTCCCCCCAGACCGCGCTCCCTTTGTCCCGCATTCCGGCTGCTTCTGATGTTCTGCTGTTTCATGGCTGATTTGATTTGTGTGTCTGAATGTGAACCCAGTAATTTTTGTCTTTTCTTCTCTTTTTTTTAAGCGCTTTCTGAAATGCCTTCTGAAGCAGTCGGTGGTGGCGTTTGCCATGATGAATGATATATTGATGTAGATCATATACATCATATATATATGCATTTTTCCATTAGTGTATAATTTTCCATTTTCCCTTTACTGGAAAATTGGAAAATACCCTTTGGGAAATTCACTATAAAGCCCTTTGCCCCTTTGACAAAACGACGTTATGTATTGTGCTTCTGTGAAAATGCGTTTATATATATATATATATATATATGCATTTTTTATATTGATGATGCTGATGAGAACTTAGCATGCTTAAATGGATCAGTAATTCAAAGATAGAAACATTGCATATTATTGGCTGTGTAAACGTCATCCTTTTTCTTATTTTTGTGTGAATAAAAATGTATTCTCTTGGTTTGATGTGTTGCCAGTGCTCTCATATTATTCCTATAAACATTATAAATATTCAGCTGTTTCAGCTACTATAGGGATGAGGAAGTGAGTCAAAGTGACGAGCAGCCCATCTCTAACGTCCCCAGCCGCTAACGTCCCTGTGCGCGTCGTCTGTGTGTGCAGGACTCCGAGAGAAAGGGTTTCATGGACAAGCTGTACGCCATCCAGGATGTGTTCATCAGTGTGCAGAACGCGCTGGACGGGGTGGCGTCCTACGGGGAGAGGATAAAGAAGTGAGTCCCCAGCAAGCCCCCGTGGGGGCCCCAGCAAGCATTCCCACACATCTGTCCCGTACATCTCGTTTATATGAAAATTGCGCCTAATAATTCTGATGAATACATTTCAGGATATCTGTGCAGGCCAATGTCTTTACAGACAGCGGCAAGTCATTAAGCTACAGATTCCAAGTACTGTAAAATGTATGACACATTATTGAAAATTCATGTCCCCAGAAGGGTGTTAGCTATTCAGCCATAAACCTGTGTTTAACGTTTGTCTGAACGACAAAAGATAGTTAAAACAGACGAGGAAAAAAAAGACAAAAAAAATCAATGCCAGCAGCCGATGTGACTCTGCGAACGTCTAGGTGACACGCAGCAGTGAGCCGGCAGAGTGACACTCTGATGGAGGGGTCCACTGTGATTTCAGCAAAGCCATTTATCCAATGCATATCACTTACTGATTGGCTATCATTGGGTTAATGTGGAATTTGTAGTTACCCCTTTTAAAAATAAATAATATTTCAAATAATATTGAGTGACCCCCCCCAAAAAAAATAAATCCTAATGCTTTTCCAATCCTTCATTTACTTAGTAATTTAATTAAGATGTTTAACTTGTACCTAATCATTATAGTTATATATTAGGATACTGAACATAGTACTAATCTGTCTAATGACATGACGGATGTGATCCCTTTCCTTTGACCCCCCTGCAGCACCTTCAGTTGGACTGTCCCTTTCCTAAGTTTCCTCGCCATTGTGGTGTTGAGTCTGGCCACCGTGCTGGTCTACTTCATTCCTCTCCGGTACATCGTGCTGGCCTGGGGTGAGTGTGGGGTGGGGGTTCTGCCCACCGAGCCGGGCCGCCTCCAGATCCACATCCCAAACCACATCCACCACCTTCAATTTCTTCACGTTACACATGTTGCCGAATATCTATTCTATGTTTATTTAGCCTGGATGGTTGCATCATCCATCTATCCATCCATCCACTCATCTTCCATAACCACCGGATATCCATTCCAAGTTCACATAGAGCCTGGGGTCTGTCCCAGTAAACATGGCAGGGGACATCCCAGACAGGACGCTACTTCATCACAGGACGGACACTCGTGGGGGGGGAGACCAGGGTACCTGAAGGAGAACATACAGACTGCACACTATCGAACCCACAGCCCTGGAGGTTTGAGGCTATGCTGCTCGTCAGCGAGCCTCCGCATGCAGTACGTGTCGTCTCCATACGTGCGACCTCCAGAGCTCGCTGAGTGCCATAGCCTTAAGAAAGACTCCTTAGAGCAATGTTTCTCAGTCCTGTCCTCGGAGACCCAGAGACGAGCCACATACTGGGAACTGGGAGGGAGCAAAAATGTGTACTGTCTGGCAGGGAGCTCGGAGGGAGTAAAAACGTGGACTGGCTGCGGTTCCACGTGGACCACATTGCGAAGCACTGTCTCAGAGCACCGCCCTGTTCCTTAGCCTGCCCTCTGTTGCCCCCAGGTGTTAACAAGTTCACAAGGAAGCTACGAGACCCCTACAGCATCGACAACAACGAGCTGCTGGACTTCCTGTCCCGGGTTCCTTCTGACGTACAAGTGGTAGGTCCTCCCTCTCCACCTCATGCAGACCCACACCACCCACCAACAGCGAGATGGATGTTCTCTACATGCTTCAAATTCTACACATTGCCTGCTCCCTCGAGCTTCAGGTGTGGGTCTCCTCATCATCCATGACGCCCAGGATAGGATGCTGGTCCATCACAGGGACTCACTCTTTATCAAGTGCACAAGCACGCTCACATGCACAGTCACGTTCTAAGGAGGAAACCCACACAAGAACATCTGTTTCATCTTGGTTGTTGCCTCTTCCTCATTAGTTCACACAGGATCCAGGTTAATCACTGAGCAATGACATAGTCACTGGTGTTGCTAATCTCAGACAGCCTCCAGTGTTTGGGTCCAGATTGTCCAGTCTCACAAGCTGCAGATGAGCGTTCCCTTTGACAGGTACAGCTTGAGAACATCCTCAGACTTCTTCTTGGAACACATCAACAACAACAACAAATTTATTTTTGTATAGCGCATTATCACAACATTACATTGTCCCAAAGCGCTTTACAGCATCCCCACCCAAAGCCCCCAGTGAGTAAGCCATAGGCGACAGTGGCAAGGAAAAACTCCCTAGAAGGAAGAAACTTTGGGAGGGACCAGACTCAAAGGGGGAGCCCATCCTCCAGGGGCCGGCAGGGAGAGTCAAACACATCACATCTCATCATGTCCCAGACACGAGACACCATGTGACATAAAGCAATCCGGGAACCCCACCGCTGCTAAGCTTGACTTCCTGTTTGCCCCCACCCGGACGCGACCGTATGCACTGCGGCCCTGTGCACTGCGGCCTGTATGCACTGCGGCCTGTATGCAGTACGGCCCTGTGCACTGTGGCCCGTATGCACTGCGGCCCTGTGCACCTCGGCCCGTATGCACTGCGGCCCGTATGCAGTACAGCCTGTATGCACTGCGGCCTTGTACACTGTGGCTTGTATGCACTGCGGCCCTGTGCACCTCGGCCTGTATGCACTGCGGTCCTGTGCACGCTTGGTGGCAGACAAACGACATGGCGTGTCAGGCCCCCGTGCGGCGCCTTGCCACCCGCGGCGCCGCTAAGCGTCACTCAGCGGCGCCACCTGGGGACCAGGAGAGTCAGCTCACCTTCACGGATCGTTGGGAGCCAGTGACACGTGGACCCGAGATGGATGCCAGTGGCAAAGCTGTCAGGAGCTGGCGAGTGGCGGGGAGGCCATTTAAAAAAGCGGGGCAGGGGGCAGGAGCTGGCGGGGGGGCCATTTAAAAAAGGGGGAGGGGGCAGAAAGCCACTCCATAAAAAAAAAAAAACCTCATTTCATATGCAGCAACAGCAACCTAAAGTACTGAAGCAAACTATTGAAAGGTCATTCATTTGTAGCTGTTTGTACAGCAGAATGACTTTGTCCCTTATGACCTGGTACTTGTAGCATTTAGAGATTTCTAGAACACCACGTTTACCCACCTCAGTGCCTTCCTCGTTATCATCATCGTCATCATTGTATCTAATACAGACAGTCTCTGGGTTACGAACTTCCAACAGACGATTGTACTTATGAACAAACTGCCATGAGGCCTATTATGTTAAAATTTCGGTTCAGATATGATGGTACTTGATAAACGCATGCAGCACTTTGTGATGCTCGTGTAACATTGTGCAGCTTCAGCGGTTCGTCGGCTTGAGAATCAGTACAGTATCATATGTAGTTACTTGTAGTATTACTGTATATTATCATTATTACTATCATTATTATGTACTCTATTACTATTTTTATCACTTACCTACAAATTCGACTTATATGTACAGTATACAGTACATTTGTTTAATTGCAGAATCTTCTTTATCATTTATACTTTCAAATTATAGGTAACCAGTAATTACCACCTTTAGCATTAACCTTGAGACAAATGACCTTGAAACAAACATGATGATGAGGTATTTTTGTTAGGTGCAGTCAGTGTGCAGTGTTAGGTGTTATCGGTATGCAGTGTTAGGTGCAGTTAGAGTGCAGTGTTAGGTGCAGCCAGTGTATTCAGTGTCCACGAATGTGTCTGTGAGGGCCTCGAAGAAATAATTGCAGCCTCCACTGTGTCAGAGACGCTAAAGACTGTGCTTTAACAACCGGTTACTTTCAGACACAAACCCACACTTTTACAGTTTCCATTTTTTTATTATGGTATCTGCATGGTCTCATTCACTCACTACAGAGAACATGCAGTCCATTTTTAACCATGTTCTCATCGAAGAATGAGAGATACATGCTTTACTACACCTGGAACATTAACCAATACTATTATACTGAAGCATCTCACAAGGCAGGGTACTTGAAACCTTCAAACGCTGACGATGTCATGCCATGATAAAGCGGGAGTGCAGCAGCCTTGGAGAAAGATCTTTAATCTCTTGGTTTCCATTGTAGATTAGCTGAATATTGTTCTCTTTAGGTATAAGGAACTTGTCATCTGAGGTTCCAGTAACACCAGGAATGTTTTTAAGTCTTCAACTAGAACTTTTCCTCAAAATGGGACATATTTTGGTAGTAACGTTATATATGATATTCATTGTTAGGTTTTCAGTGTTGTGGTTTAGTTTATTCATTCTGTCAAAAATACACCTGCAAATATGCCACCCAAAATGGTAAAAAAAAGAGAATCACCAATAGAGGAACAAATTTTCCTAAAAAATCACACAAATGCCGACAGAAGCTAGCAGCAGCCAGAATGGCTTGTCTTGGAAAGTCAATTAGCCCATCTGACAGCGTGAGAAAGCGGCGCTTCTAGCCGACTGGAGTCGCACCTGCCTGGCCGACCATCCACGGCAAACGCGGCTTTCCCGCCTAATTAAGGCACGTCAGCGCTTTTCCTTACCGACCGTGCGGAACCTGAAATGCGGAGAGCGCAGAAATTCAGGCGGATCCCTTGCTTCTCCGTTTTTTTGGAGTTCGTTAGAGGAATCGGAGTTGTATTCCTCATTAGCTCAGAATCCCATGCCTTGGTCATTCCTACACACAATAAGAGCGAAATGACATGCCATGGAATCTCCATCTTATTATCCTGCTATGTATCAGCATTCTGCAGATTCCGAGTGACAAAATGCCCGCGTCCGTATTCGTTGCTTACTACGGTATTCTCTAATCAGACTTTAATTTGCAGCTAAAGAAACGACATCATCCTTATGGGCCTCTTGACTGAGGATCCGCAGGTTGACCCTGCTACGCGATTGCGTAAGTCCTCCTATTGTCCCACGTACCAGGGGCCACAGAGGAGCTGAACATCTGTGAGCCCGGTTTGTGTGCACAGATGGAGCCGCATAACACGTCTCCTGTCTTCTCGCTCCGGTGTCTATTTTAGTTGGCAGGGCTATAAAGTCCAAAAAAAAAAAAACAAAACAGCACTGTCACCCACGGTTTCGATCGGCTACTCCTTAAGGGCGCGCTCGTTACTTCTGCAGAACTGCGATAACTTCTCATCCTGGTAAAAGAACTAAAAAGAGCGTGCCTGTTCCATCTTCTTCCTATCAACGGTGTTCAGTGGTTGCTTTTTCACTAACAAACTAACACGTTTGTCTGAGGTGCTGCTGGAAAGGAGGTGAGGGGGGACTCTTCCAGAAAAAAAAAGTACTGTTAGCACCATTGATGACTGTAACGTAGTGGAAAGAAATATGTGTAATACACAAGAGATCTGCTGAAGTGCAGGGTCCAGTTACTTTATCATTTCCAGTTGTTTTCTTCCATATATTTCCAGTTTCAGCTGGTGAAAAAAACAGATCCCAAAGAAACTAGTGATGATTGAGGATAGTTCATTCCAGGTAAAGTGACACCTTCGCCATTTCCTCTGCAGCCCAGTGCTGAAAGACAGTAACACTCAGTTAGCCAATCACAAAACAGACGTCCACGGGGAAAAGCCCAGAAATTTGTACTCAGCTGGCTCAGCCATGATGACACCATCTTTGGGAAGGAACACGAACCTTATTCCAGTTCTTACTGGACTTCTTGATGTTATTTGCTCCTGCCCGTTCTTGTGACTTCCATCATCTGGACATTTAATGTGCTCAGTACCTGCCAGAAATAAACTGAAAAAGATCACATGCGGGAGGAAGACCCCAGATGCAGAATATGTCTTTAAGGAAAAAACTACTATATATACATTCTTATCACATATATATATATATATATACACTCATCTAAAGGATTATTAGGAACACCTGTTCAATTTCGCATTAATGCAATTATCTAATCAACCAATCACATGGCAGTTGCTTCAATGCATTTAGGGGTGTGGTCCTGGTCAAGACAATCTCCTGAACTCCAAACTGAATGTCAGAATGGGAAAGAAAGGTGATTTAAGCAATTTTGAGCGTGGCATGGTTGTTGGTGCCAGACGGGCCGGTCTGAGTATTTCACAATCTGCTCAGTTACTGGGATTTTCACGCACAACCATTTCTAGGGTTTACAAGGAATGGTGTGCAAAGGGAAAAACATCCAGTATGCGGCAGTCCTGTGGGCGAAAATGCCTTGTTGATGCTAGAGGTCAGAGGAGAATGGGCCGACTGATTCAAGCTGATAGAAGAGCAACTTTGACTGAAATAACCACTCGTTACAACCGAGGTATGCAGCAAAGCATTTGTGAAGCCACAACACACACAACCTTGAGGCGGATGGGCTACAACAGCAGAAGACCCCACCGGGTACCACTCATCTCCACTACAAATAGGAAAAAGAGGCTACAATTTGCACGAGCTCACCAAAATTGGACAGTTGAAGACTGGAAAAATGTTGCCTGGTCTGATGAGTCTCGATTTCTGTTGAGACATTCAAATGGTAGAGTCAGAATTTGGCGTAAACAGAATGAGAACATGGATCCATCATGCCTTGTTACCACTGTGCAGGCTGGTGGTGGTGGTGTAATGGTGTGGGGGATGTTTTCTTGGCACACTTTAGGCCCCTTAGTGCCAATTGGGCATCGTTTAAATGCCACGGCCTACCTGAGCATTGTTTCTGACCATGTCCATCCCTTTATGACCACCATGTACCCATCCTCTGATGGCTACTTCCAGAAGGATAATGCACCATGTCACAAAGCTCGAATCATTTCAAATTGGTTTCTTGAACATGACAATGAGTTCACTGTACTAAAATGGCCCCCACAGTCACCAGATCTCAACCCAATAGAGCATCTTTGGGATGTGGTGGAACAGGAGCTTCGTGCCCTGGATGTGCATCCCACAAATCTCCATCAACTGCAAGATGCTATCCTATCAATATGGGCCAACATTTCTAAAGAATGCTTTCAGCACCTTGTTGAATCAATGCCACGTAGAATTAAGGCAGTTCTGAAGGCGAAAGGGGGTCAAACACCTTATTAGTATGGTGTTCCTAATAATCTTTTAGGTGAGTGTATATATATACATAGTACAGTGAGTAACTGATGTTTTCACTATTTCACTTTATACATTGACCTGAAAGCTACAGTATATATGGTACTTACAGAACAGATCATTATTGGTATCTGTGAAGTTCTTCTGCTCAAATGGGTTTGGGAAGTTTTGACCAGGGGGCCTAATGGTCAGAGTCCGGCTTCATCAACCAAGTCGCTCCTGCAAACTTGTGTTATCGAAATCAGAGTTTTTTTGGGTGGGTTTCCTGCATGGAATTTTTTCATGACTAGATCTGGCTTTTTATACTGAATTGGGACCAGCTATACCACACCTCTGTCCACTGGCCATGATGCGTATGAATGGGAAGGTGACTTAGTTCAGGGCCTCCTGCAATACTACTGCAGATGCCTTCAGAAAACCAGAAACAAGTAATTGAAACCTGGAAGTGCAGATGACAGAAATTATGAAAACAAACTTTGTACTTGTCATTGTTCTTCAACCGAAGTTACTGTTGGAATTCATGTCTATTGTTGCAATGCCAAACGACAGACATGGAATGACATACGGCCGTAATAAAGCAGGGATCAGCGTCTGAAGATGCCTGTGTGATTATTTGAGTCGTTACTGCATTATATTTGAATATGGCATGGAAACGTCACAGCAAGCCAGGTGGGCATCTGTCAAGGACTGATGGTTATTTCTGCATTAAAGCTCAATCCAGCATAGCCTAGGTAACAGCTAAGCGACTCTAAAGGCCCGTCATAGCGGCTATTATAATGGAACCTTCTCTCCAAACAACTGTGGATTTTTTCTTAGGGAGCGGGAACACAGAACCAAGTGGCCTTGTCGTGACCCGGCTTTCGGGAGAAACCCCCAGGGGTCGCCTGGGTGGCTCCCGGAAGACCCTTCAACGGGACTCCTCTCGTTCTCATGCTCCTGTTTGTTTGTCCAGAGTCCCTTTCAGCTGCGCTTCCTCATCCCAGCTGGAGAGAACAGCAGAAGATTCCCAAACTGTCCCAGGATTCCTCTGGCTTCCCTCCACCTGAGCGTGACTGGGGTGTCTGTGTGTTTAAACAGGTGCAGTATCAAGAGGTGAAACCGGATCCCGGTCAGAGCCCAAATAAAAGGAAGAAAAACAACCCTGGGTAGACGGACTCTTCCTCACAGGAACGTCAGCCCTGCGAAGACGAAAACAACCGGCTTCTTCACTCCGAACGGAACAATCTCTCCTTCTTCCCAACTCCTGCTGTATATTATTAAGAAACACTGTAAAAAAAAAAAAAACAGGATAGATAAAAGCCAAATGGTGAAAATAATGGCAATAATAATAAAACATTGTTGTTATTGGATATTATATTATAGGTTACTTCATTGTATTGTTTATTTTATTTGGTTGTGAACTGGACAAGAATCTCTATGTAAATAGTATTGCAGCTTTAACATTTGTAGATATCCACTATTGTGCTGAATAAAAACAGAAGAGAGGGTGAGATATGCAGGCTGTGGACTTCAGCTCAGTGACAGACGATTGTAGTGACTCCTCAGGTCGGTACTCGCCGGTCGGCCTGTGTGCAGAGGGGCTCCTTTCACTGTGCATTGGCATGTTTGCTGTCTCTGGGACCAGTCCGAATAAAACCGTAATTATGTAATCTAAGTGACCATCTCACTGCCAATCTGAAGAGGTATTTTCATGGGTCCGAAGGGCTGCATGCTGCATGCTAATAAAGATTTCGTAAAAATAAAATGGGTAACACATGAATCCGCTGACACACTGGTGCTGTGGAGCGACATTTTATCTGGGGGATTTTAGGCCAAATGTAACCTTCTGTTCTTCTGTGCTAGTGTCCGGCTCCTATTTTATTATATTTGTTATTATTATTATTATTATTATTATTATTATTAATAAGATTATTCATGTTATGTAACTTCTTAGTGGACAATTTTGTTTGAAATCTACGCACCTGGGTATTTTATTAGAGTACATGACATTCTGAAGGCCTCTGCTGCGTGGTAACCTCGCGGTGCCTTAACCCTGTGTTTTTAGCCAATATGCTACCCTGTTAAAAGGTTTTTGTTGTCATTTGGTTTGTTTTCTCGCTGGTTAAAGGTGGTTGCTTGTTTTATTATCATTATTTTTAATTAATTGCAGTCTGGCAGATAGAGTATAATATATCACACATCCTAAGGAGCGTTATTCTTTAAATGACAGGATTGTCTTCTTAGTTTTCTGAGAACCTGTTAAGACTTATATACTGCATATATGAACTGTTATGGTAATACTTACCTATAGAGTATATATATGTATGATACAGTACGTTATGCATTTTATATTCTTAAAATGATTTTTTTTTCATTAAAGTATACATACATATGTGTTGTTCTGACTGATGTACTGTGTTTAAAGTGTGGATTGCGTCTAAAAGATCTTACAATGTACTGTCCAGTATATGCCTTGTTTGCAAGGAGACCAAAGTAAGTAATTTTGATAAAATGCAAAGGGATGGTTTGTGCGAATGGTGTTCAAAGCAAGCAGCTTTGTTTTCTCTATCTGAAGCCATGTAAGTAATCGACAGCTGCATTTCTTGTGCTCGTGAATGAAGGCCGGATGTTTATTAACTTGTACAAATGTCTGCATTGAAATTCCCATGCGGCGCTCAGTTAAAGGGAGCACTGTGAGATTCTGATGTGTGTGGTTAGTTTCAGCACCGCCCGTGACATCATCACTGTGTGTCCAATCAGAGGCTAAACATCAGGATGAGATGTGATGTCAGTGTTCTGGGGATGTGGGCGGGGCAGTGAGAGGAGAATAAAGCTGGAATGTAAACACCATGTTTTGTTTGCTGTTTGTTAAGATTTTTTTTTAAGTCATTTTTGTTTTCTTGCCATCTGTTTAATTTTTATTTATTGTGCTTACTGGAAAAGGCTGCTACAGTTTGGAAAAAGTATTCAGTGAAACAGAAAAGGCAACTTTAACAGCTTTCTGGGAACAGGAAAATGGTATAGACTAGCAGAGGTGTTTCTAGAAGGAATTAGTCTTAAGGCATTTCTTGTAGGTGGAGATGCATCCATCCCTCCATTTTCTAAAACTGCTTCAGGGTCACAGGGGGTACAGAGCCTATGGGCACAAGGCAGGGCACAACCCAGAATGGGGCACAACCCAGAATGGGGCACAACCCAGAATGGGGCACAACCCAGAATGGGGCACCAACCCATTGCAGGACACACACACAGGTAATTTCGTAACTCCAAGTACCCTCAGCGTGTTTGTGGACTGAGGTGGGTAACTAGAGTACTTAGAGGAAACCCCACAACGACACAGCGAGAACATGCAAACCCCACACACATGGAACCCTGGCAGAGACTCGAACCCAGGTTCCAGAGGTGTGAGACGACACTGCTAACCACTCCCTGTCCACTTACTCCCTGCACTCCTCACACAGATCCGGGGGTCACCCCACTAAGGCCGGCCTTTACTCCTCAGCTCTCCCGGAAGAGCTTGCCTGTATTCTTACCTTCACCCATTTGGAAGTCAGCACTTATTATTCACATGTAACGTTTGCTTCTTTGACTTACATTTCTATCTCTGACATGTTATGTTTTCTCCCCTGTTTTCCACCTGGGTCTTTTACTAGAGCGATTCAGGTTAAGTACTTTGCTGAACGCTGCATCCGAATGTTGCCTTAGATCAGCAATCTTAGGGTTACAAGTGTGAGTCCTTAGCAACTATACACCCTACTTTTCTTTGCTGCATAGTTTTTTAAACTGGAGGGGGCACACATGCTAAATTCCTATATGTGGGGGTGTTTTTTCCCCAGGTACTCCTGCTTTTCAGTGGAAAGCAAGCTACATTTTTTTTTCAGCTTTGCATGTGAGTTTATAAAACAAGTGAAACGATTACCCCCGAGTAACCATTAAAACACACAGACTGCAGAAACACTGTAAATAATATCAGAGAAATGCTATTATGGCACACGGCAAGCTGACTAACGACCGATTCAAGCATCTCAGCTGTCTAATTAGGCAGAAGGAGAATCAGCGCTGTCAACCAGGGGGAACTGTGATGGTTATAAATAGCATTAGTAAACATAAACATAACTGATAATAAATGATCTTTTTTTGACTCTTCCATTGGGACGGTGCCTGTAACCCAGCCTGCTCCAAACTGACGCTGTCACAGTTAAATTCTTCCTCTCTTCCTGATTGGTCCCCTCCTCCTGTAGCCTTGAGCATGTGATATGCCATAAAGCTTGTGGCATTGGCCTCAGATCATCGTCGTCATGGGACATTGGAAGAGATGCAGCTAATGAAATTGACTGCAAGAAATGTTAGAAAGCTGAGACGTCGCGTTATTGTGTTCAGTACCGACTTATCCTTCATTTTATCAAACTATTTATTACTCATTGTTCTGTTTGGCATTGAGTTTTAAACTGGGGATAGTAGGAATATGACTAATGTTAATTGTCAGAAGCTAATAAGAGCTTTGATTTTGAGACTGCTTTCAATGTATATATATATATATATACACATTAAAATATATTATATATATATATAATGTCATATATATTATATATATATATATATAATCTGAGTCATTTTATTATATATTTAATGTATTATTTCTTCTAATATAATAGTTTTATAAGATTAAGAATGGCACACTGTACTGTACTGTACTGCTACATAGAATGGCACACTGGAGAATCATCTTCGCATTCACCAAGGCACAGGCCTCCATCGGCAGTCAGATGTTGCTCTAAGGATGAAGAGTGAATCTTCTGCACATTAACAATAACTGTACCCACACCTGCTTTTTCATGTGATGCAGGAACTGTAGGTAGTTTAAAGTTCCTCTTACACGCCTCACTGGGGTGGAGTTTTTAAAAGAACATTCATTTCTTCAATGACAGGAGTTTTTGCTTCTTCTAGCAATGAAGCCGTCCCAAAGCAGCCTGTTACTTGATGTCCATAAATAATTTACAAAAATTACTTGTAACAGACTATTCAGTAGCTGTCAGCTTCCATGTGGGAAAACAACTGAAGCGTACTAGAATCCTGGTGGTTAAGAGATATGGGACTTCAAGTTGAGTCTTCAAGTTGAGTCTCAAGCTCAGTTGTTTCTTAATTGGGTAAATAATTCACCAGCATTCTAAGTTATTGTTATGGGTGAGTCAGCGGTTGCGAGCGAATGGCAGCATTACAAATACTGTAACTGTAATACTGTTACTGTAATACTGTAACTGTAATACTGTAATACTGTTACTGTAATACTGTAATACTGTTACTGTAATACTGTTACTGTAATGCTGTAATAATGAAGCTGCCGGCCTCACTAGCATCCGACTCTGTTGACATAACAACATGAGAAGCTGAGTCACACTGGGAAGATGCTCATAACTGCGGAGAATTCTCCTAACCGGCACCGAAGGGCCCTCATACACCACTTTCTTATGGGATAATGTCTGTGTTGTTTTCTCAATATATATTTATTCCACAGCTTGCAAGTAAAAACTCATCATGATAACTCCACAAAAAAGAAGAAAGTTAAGTAAATGGACTTTGGGGAAAAAAAGTTTAAAGAAAAAAAAAGGAATTAATATATTTTCGTTAGTATAGCATGTCCTGAATTTCTTTATTCAGAATAGCATATTTACTTATTGAGAAGATAAGGATATTTGTGAGGCCCAAACGGGACTTGCCGCTTATTACAGCCTGTACTCTCTTCATGGTGAATATCTGTGTGTCAGAGATGCCCCTTCACCAGCAGGTGGCAACAGGCAGATAAAGACTCTCAGATCCCATGCAACTGCTACATGGAATCATCCTAAATCTCGTTATGTTCCCAGCGATGACGTGGAGTCCTGACCTGGGGGTTCTAACGCAGGATTGTGATCCAGAGTGGATAATCTTTTATTCATAATAGACCATGAATGCATGGATATGTGAATTCAGTTATATGTCTCAGTTTTAAGCATATGTGTATTTACGCAGTTATCTGGTGAATTCTGTCTGCCTTTATATCCTGTGTGGTCACCAGCACTTGATGACATATGCAAGCGTTTGGCTGACCTACCCCCCCCCCCCCCCCCCCCCCCGAAGAACATGCATTTGACTGCTGCCTGTTTTTCACCCACTATGTAAGACTCCTTCGGCTACTACTTTCTGGAAATCTCGGGGGGGGGGGGGGGGCTTCAGCAGCAAGCCGGACCTGAAGTGGGACGTGTCTCCAAACCCCAGGGAGACCCCTGCGCCCCCTGCTGATTATGCGG